ACACTAGGCTAGAGGGCCAAAATTTAGGCACTTGGCAGTGCCTTCATATACCATGACAATTGTGCGGTCATGCAACACTGTACCCATATGACATTTTTATCATTTTTTTTGTGACAAATAGAGCTTTATTTTGGTGGTATTTAATCACCTCGGATTTTTTTATTTTTTCTTAAACAAACCAAAAACCACTGAAAATTTTGAAAAAAAAATGTTTTTTCTTAATTGTTGTTATAAAATTTTGTAAATAAGTGATTTTTCTCCTTCACTGATGTACGCTAATGAGGCTGCACTGATGGGCACTGATAGGCTGCACTGATGGGCACTTATGAGGAGGCACTGGTAGGTGGCACTGATGGGCATTGACAGGCATCACTGATGGGCACTGAAAGGCAGCACTGATACATGGCACTGATAGGCAGCACTGATAGACAGCACTAATAGGCGGCACTGACTGGCACTGTTAGGCGGCCTGACTGGCACTGTTAGGCGGCCTGACTGGCACTGTTAGGCGGCAGTGACAGGCACTGATAGGTGGCACTGATTGGCACTGATAGGTGGCACTGATTGGCAGCACTGATATGTGGCACTGATTGGCATTGATAGGTGGCACTGACTGCCACTGATGGGTGACACTGAAAGGCAGCTCAGATGGGCACTGATATGTGGCATTGATGTGCACTGGTAGGCACTGAGATGTGGCATTGATGTGGCACTGATGGGCACTGGCACGAGGCACTGATGAGCACTGACATAAGGCACTGATGGACACTGACAGGTGGCACTGCTGGGGCTACACTGATCATCAGTGCCCTGATAATCAGTGTACATGTCCCCTCCGCGGAAAGCCGATTACCGGCTCTCCTCTCCTCTGTCAGTGTGACAGCTCGAAAGGAGAGAAATGCCAATAACCGGCATTTTCCCTGTTTACATGTGATCAGCTGTGATTGGACACAGCTGATCACATGACCGAGCCGACATCTTCGACTCTTTCCGTGATCTGTGATCCGCTGTGTCCGAGGGACACAGCGCACCGCCGATCGCCGCGTGCTCCCTGAGCGCAGTGAGAATGGGAGGACGTCATATGACATCCTCCCAGAACGAGAGAACCACCTTGCGCCCGTCATATTACTATATGGCGGGTGGGAGGTGGTTAATTAACAGAAGAGTTTCAACCACATTGTCCAGCGATATAAAGTATATATATTTTACTGTGCACATGTCTTAGTGAAAAAATTATGTAAATGAAGAAATCTTTCAGCAAGTAGTGTTGACAGTTTATTTTTATCAGTTAACAAAATGGATAGTAAATGAACTGAAGAGAAAATCCAATTCAAATCAATATTTGCTGTGACCGCCCTTTGCCTTCAAAACCTTTGTTGTCTTTGTGCATAGTTGAGTCGCTTAGCCTTGTTTCCACGTCTTATGCAGGAAAACATAGGAATTGGGATGAAGAAAAATGGCAGCAGGTGCTCTGGACTGTTTAGACAAAATGTGACATATTTGGATGTAGCATATGGCAGTTTGTTCTGTGAAGGGCTGGAGAGCGGTACAATGAGTGTCTGCAGACAATTGTGAAGCATGGTGGAGGTCCCTTGCAAGTTTGAGGCTGCAATTCTCCAAAGGGAGTTGGAGATTTGGTCAGGATCAATGGTGCCCTCAATGCTGAGTAATACAGTCTTCTCTATCATGCCATACCATCAGGGAGATGTGTGATTGGCCCCAAATTTATTCTGCAGCAAGTCAATGACCCCAAACATACAGCCAAAGTCAATAGGAACTATCTTCAGTGTAAAGAAGAACAAGGAGTCCAGCCAGTGATGGTTTAGCTCTCGCAGAGCCCTGATCTCAGCATCATGGAGTTTGTCTGGGATTACATGAAGAAAGAGAAGAATTTGAGGCAGCCGACATCCACAGTAGGTCTGAGGTTTGTTCTCCAAGATTTTTGGAACAACCTACCTGCTGAGTTCCTTCAAAAACTGTGTGCAGGTCTACCTAGAAGAATTGATGCTGTTTGAAGGCAAAGAGCTGTCACACAAAATATAGATTTGATTTGGATTTCTCATCAGTTCATTTACTATCCATTATATTAATTGCTAAAAATAAACTTTTAACACTTCTATTTCTGAAAGCATTCTAACTTTACAGAATTTTTTCACACCTGCCTAAGACTTTTGTGCAATACTGTGGGTATGTGTGTGTGTGTGTGTAAATATATATATATATACACGGTGAAGGAAATATAAATATTTGCTCCCTGCTGATTTTGAATGTTTGCCCACTCACAAAAAAAATGATCAGTCTAAAAATCGAATGTTCGGTGTATTGTAACACTGAGAGACAGAATAGCAAAAAAAAAAAAATCAAAAGAAATACATGTCACCTAACAAATGATGACTGATTTGCATGTTCATGAGGGAAAATAAGTATTTGATCCCCTATCATTCAGCAGGATTTCTGGCTACCAGGTGTCTTTCATACAGGTAACAAGCTGAGATTTAGAAGCAGTCTCTTAAAAGGAGTGCTGCTAATCTCATTTTGTTACCTGTATAACAAGACACACCTGTCCACAGGGAGCAATCAAACAATCAGATTCCAAACTCTCCACCATGGCAAAGACCAAAGAGCTGTCCAAGGATGTCAGGGGCATAAACTAACCAGCCCTACAGAAGGCTGGACTGTTTTAGCTAACAAACTATGGCCAAGCAAGCTTGGTGAGCAGGTGACAATAGTTGGTGCAATCATTACGCAAATGGAAGTAACACACAAAACAACTCTGTCAGTCTCCCTAGGTCTGGTGCACCCCCATGCAAGATCTCACCGTAATCTGTGGAGTGTCAATGATCATGAGAACAGTGAGGAGTCATCCCAGAACTACACGTGAGGATCTTGTCAATGATCTCCTGGTAGCTGGGACCCACAGTCACAAGGGAAATACAATTGGTAAACACACTACGCGCCGACAAGGATTGAAATCCCGTAAGGTCCCTCTGCTCAAGAAAGCACATGTCCAGGCCGTCTGAAGTCTATAGCCACTGAACATCTGAATGATGCAGAGGAGGACATGGTTGAAAGTGTTGTGGTTCAGAGGAGACCAAAATCGAGCTCTTTGGCATCAACTTTCAACTCACCGTGTTTGGAAGATGGAGGAATGCTGCCTATGACCCCAAAGAACACCATCCCAACTTGTCAAAACATGGTGTGGAAATATTCTGCTAGTGGGGGGTGTTTTCTGCAAAGGGGACAGGGACAACTGCACAGCATTGCATAAATAATCAAAGGGATGATGGACGGGGCCTAATGTACCATCAAATGTTTGGGTGAAGAACCTTCTTGACCCTCAGCCAGGGCATTGAATAATGGGCCCAGGATGGGCCTGTGTTCCAGGCAAGCACAATGACCTCAAAAAAACACACGGCCAAGGCAACAATGGAGCGGCCTACAAGAAAAAATGCGCAATTAATGGTCCAGGGAGGTGGCCTAATTGCCAGTCTCCAGACCTTAATCTGATTGACTAAGGGATCTGTGGGAGGGAGCTGAAAGTAATACTTCGAAGTTGCCAAATAGTCTAGCCACCAAACCTTAATTGACTTGGAGAGGATCTGCCAAGAGGAGCGGTGCCAAAATCCCTCCGCTGAGAATGTGTGCAAATACCCTGGGGGCCAACTCAGGAAAGTTTCTGACCCATCAGTGATTGCCACAAGCCAGGACTAGGTCAACCCACTTTTAATTTTAATTTATTTAACTTTCTTTTGATTTTTTTTGTTGCTATTCCTGTCTCTGAGTGTTAACAATTACACCCGACAACATACGATTTTTAGACTGATAAATTTTTTTGTGAGTGGGCTAAATCATTCAAAATCAGCAGGGGATCAAATACGATATTTCCTTCACTGTATCTATATATTTATATTATAACATATATTTATAATATATATACTAATAATATATATATTTTTTTTATTTATTTTTTTTTATGTGAGAGGCCATAGTTCTGCTTTAAAGGTGCATTTCAAGTGTGTATGTTAAGTTAACAACTAGCCTGAAAGCTCCCGCAAAATCTTGTAACGGCCTGCAATGTTGACAGAACGGATCGCATAAGGTGTGACCAGATACCCATGCGATCCGATTCTGTGCGGACCCAAAAAAGTTCAGTCCTAGCACCGTTTTTCAGTGCAGGTGTGGTGCGATTAGAGCCACACAAACATGGCAATGCGCTCCTGAGATCACACCGTCAAACAAACCGTAGTAGATTGCATTACAGGAATGCGTGCGGTTCACTGTGTGAATCACATGCGCGTCGTACGGCACGCATGAGCATGTGAACCCAGGCATACATGGTTATCAAATCCATGCAAATAATTGATGATTAAGCAGATCAGATCGGGCATCACAGTAGCTGTACTTGAAACAATACCTTTGTATGCATTGTATTTACAAATACATTTGAACAGGAGATATACTTGTGAGTGGCTGCATTTTTGACAGCTGCTACACGTTGCTGAAATAACAGCAATTCCTGGCTGTCATTTTGAAAGCCGGTAATTGCTGGCAAGAGGGGATCAGATGTAAGAGATGAACCCTAAAAACCTTGGCTTTAGTTTTTTGGATTGTGATCTGTTAACGATATCGGAAAGATTCTTTCAATGATTAAGAACAGACATGCAAACAAACGAAGCAATGCCCACTTAAGCATTGTGATCATAAGAATGAACACCTTAGCGGCTAACACAATCGAGATTCTGGACTCACTACTGGCAAACCTAATAAATATCGAAAAAGGTGTGCTAGAGCTCTAAAATGAAAACTACCCTATCAAAACATATTTCACATGTTTACAAAAAATCTATATCAAAACCCAATTAACACCAATAAATGACTCAGTCAGTAAAGGAATAATGTCAAATAACCATCAAATCAACAAGTGTTCGCTAATACAATTCACGATAGGCATCACCATCAGTGCATAAAATTCAGTACCATGTCCTCTAGTTACCCTGTTTTCAAGTGAACCGGACTCCTTCTAATAAACATGCTTGGGAATCAGCCTAGATGTCATCCCATACACAAACCACTATGGTGCTCATACTAAAAGCATGCTAATGCTCACCCTATAGAGTCTATAAAAGTTTATGATGTAATGAAACTCCCAGTGGCTATCAGGAACCCCTGATCTTCCTTACCAATTGATCTACAGGTTTCAGTGAATATACTACAATTCCACAGTAAGGATGTACTGGAGTAGTTAACTTACCTCATTTTTTTAATACTCATACGCGCTGCTGCGAACGACGATGCAGGACCGAAAGTGGATCTGACCAATTTGAGCACTGGGGCACTGCCCGAGGGCAACTGGGAATTCATAGCAGGGCCCCATGAAATGCCCCAGGCACCTATATAATCATTCAGAATAGGCTTTTTGGTGTGTCTTTGGCATGTGGCTGAGGATTACAGGGGCCCTTATGATCCCCTAGTTGCCCTATGGGCCCCAAATGAGTTGTCCAGTCCGCCCCTGCGTCAAACTATTGGCTCTGTCTAAATTCTGTATAATAATTACTAGAAGTAGCGAAAAAGAAAAGATTTCGAATTCGACTCCATTCGGCGAATGTCTCGTGGACACTATTCCGAGTTCGAGTCGAATAAATTCGCTGTGAATTAGGGGGGGGGGGTGTTATTCTAGGCTTCAAGCAGAGACTTAATATTAGTGCAGAACACGACCTTTAATTTAAATGCCGCTATGGAGTCAATGCTGGGGACAGAAATATAAGTGGCACCATGTCCTGTCTTCATAGCTAATCAGCCATGGGGGGGGATGATTGCCGTCGTTTGAGAATCACTAAGCACGGGCTTCACTCTCTTTGGCGTGCAGTCACAAGGTGCCCACAAACCTAAGATGTTAGGGTGAGGGGAGGCCAGTCAGTGTGGCGGTGGAGTCAGGCTAATGCAAGGGGGAGGCCATACA